GCTTCCCTCTTCCTCAGAAATTTATGTTGATGATTTAAAATATAAATTGAAACCTGTTGTGTACGTAACATTGTCCTGCTTTCTGCGTAATTTTTTACTAGATAAAATGTATGCTTTGCAGTTCTTTTTATGTACAACGTTTTGGGAAACTGGAAACTTGTCTTTGATTTGGTACTATGCTACAGTATTTATTTAGTGAGAAAATATATAAAAAGTTAAAGTTTTTTTTTTTTTTTAACAGCAAAGAATACTTTTATTAAGAAAAATTGAGTACAAAATGTACTCAAACTCTTTTACAACACACAAAAAATGCAAGCCAACTAATGTTAATCCCCTCTTTCAGAATTATCTTTCTCCAATCTATTTTTTCCCACCATAGTTAATTGTAAGGCATGACACAAGATCAAACAACCAATCTGAAAGATTGAAATAACACATGGTTTTCCTTGTCTTAATCCAGACAAAGGATCTCATATAAATAAGTTCAAATAACTTGCCCCTACTCACCTCCAAGTTGTGGAAGATTTTTTGGTTTCGTGCAAGCCACACAGACCATACCACTATGTTCCATATGCAATCCCAACCTTTTGTGGTGTGTGGGTCTTTGGACCATACGGCCCCAAAATTCTCAAAAGTTTTCAAGCAGTCATTGTCTATTGTTATGGTAATCCCCTACCATCTACCACATACCAACCATAGCCACCTAGCTATTTTGCAATTCAAAAACAAATGGTTAGTGTCCTTGTCCTCTACTTCACACAAAGCACACTTCCCTTCTCTTGAAGTTAAAGTTGATACCGGGTCTATATTACATTCATAGTAGGCCTACACATGATGATGTGTGTTAAGTGTCTAGGTCTACAGTACATTTATAGTAGGTCTACATTTAAGGGGGTCTGTTAAGTGTAGGATTTGTATGTAAGGGGCGTGTTAAATCACGTGACAGGACTCGATATTCATGGTAAAATCCCATATCGAATATAAATGTAAGAATAAATACAAAGAAAACCACTCTACTTATTACCAATTGGTTTTAAATTGGATGTAAATCTTGTATTAAATTCATATGCATAATTTTCACAGTATCAATATAGGAATAGTAGAAAAGATAGCAGCTGTTAAATAAAAAGAACAAAAATATAAATATAATAATTAAAATTAGAGACCAACATTGTAAAAAAATAAAATAACTAAAATTCTTATAAAAATTATCAAAAATCACACAAAACAATATTAGCAAGTATCAACAAATCAAAATCATAACTTATAGTAACCAAATAAGATAATAAAATACTTAAAGAGCTCAAAAGTCACATAAAACAAGCAAATAAAAATGTGAAACTGAAAATCATTCAATACAATCACTATTCAATCTGGACTTGCATATTAGACAATCATAATAGCATCGCAGAATCAAAATCAGAGTACCCTTTTGACTAAAACACGTCCTTAACTTCCTACATAAACTTAGACATAAAGCAGACTATTATTCAAAAAGACTGTTTTCATTTCGGTAGAAAAAAATTTCCGGGAGAGCTTTGTTTTTATTTTCGGTAATGTATACAGGGGTTAGTGCTGTATGTTTTATCTCTAAAAAATTAAGAGAAAAAAAAAATAAAAATTACTTTAATGCATGCTTTAAAAGTATAGTAGTTTAATCTTTTTCAATCATGTATGCTTTAAAAATATGGTAGTTTAGTCTTTTTTAATAAAAAATTATTGAAACGACGTAATTTTATGATGATTTTCCTTCTAATTTTTAAGAGGCAAAGCTGACAGAAACTTTTTCCATATATGTATATATAGATTAATTTGCAACATCAAGAGGTTTGAATATTTATTTACATTTTTTAAAATTTTGGGTTGCATAATAAAACGTAATTTTTTTTATTTCTTAATCCACATCGATCACAATTATATGACATTAATTCAAGATATTTTACTTTTATTAAAATAAAATTATTGCTAAACTATTTAAATGGTTAATTATTTATATTGTTTTTAATTTAGAAACTCATGTGTTAATTTAAAATAAGCCTAACTAGGGGCTTAAGAGGGTTTACCCCAATTTGGTTAAATCTCCAATTTAATCCCTTAGCTATTGCACGGATCCTAAATTTGGTTTATGAACTAAAAAAATCCTTAATTTTATCCCTATTATTTATCAATTTAGCCTCAAATTGATCCTTCTATATAAAAACAATTAATATGTCTCTTTATTAATGTGACATGTAATCGTTAAGTAACAATTTTTTGTAATTAAGTAATGAATAAATCAGTTATTTTTTAATGAAAGGACCAATTTGAAGTCAAATTAGTGAACAATAGGAATCAAATTATAGATTTTCTTAGTTTATGAACCAAATCGAAGATCCATATAACAGTTAAAAGACCAGAATGTAACTTTTTTTTTTTTTTTTTATAACATCCCATTTTGCTTCTCTTCCTCAGTTTATGAGGATTTGGGGCAAATTCTAGAGCTGTAATAAATCTACTTTTTTTATCTTTATTTATCATCAGCATCTCGTGTTCTACTTCAATTGGTGTTGAAAAACTTTACTATTTTCATATATATTAAAGTAATGCATTATTTTGGACCTGCAAGTTTTT